CTTCTCCACCGCCATCCAGATCGTATCTTTTCCTTCCGGCTGAAAAAAAACACATGAAGTAAATACTGTATAGTTTCTGTTTGCTGTGACCTTGTTTAAATTAGTTTCAGGTGACCGCGGCTTTTATAAAATCTAAGATGGGTGTCTGCCTTTCGAGTCGGTCTCGCTGATGCGTTTATCAAAAATTTGCAGCCTCCTATGCCAAATGCGAAACTCGCATCTCGCAAACACACATTTGAAGAACCTTATTGGACAGTAAAAACGGAACCTTGGCAGCTAGATAGATTTCATGTATGATCCGGGACATCAGAGTTATTCAAACTCAACTTTTGAGGGCATGAAGTCACGTGAACAAGTTTTTGAGGCAACAGTAGGTTGTGCGGTGTACCTAAGCCTCCTCTAACTCTAAAATAGTGTCTAACAGGACAGGCGGTAGTAAGGGTTTTATGAGTGGTGCATCACGGCGGCCAGTGAGCATAAGTAGTCGTAGTAGTAAGTATACAAATCTGATTAAATTTCATTACCAAGGTTTTTCTATTGCAAAAAACAGAGCACGGAAATCGAGAAAACAACACTCACAAATACGATGTAAACTACTGCGCATAAAATTGTGACAGATCAGGAACTAGTGGGATGCACCGCAAATTCTAAGAAATAGCAATAGGTGCGAAGTACACTACCTGTGAAAGTGGACTGCAAGATTACGTGGGCAATATGCAGGAAAATGGAGAAAAGCAATGGAGACTCAAGCAAATCAGCGAAGAAACACCCAAACAGTGTGAGTACTATTGCCCACACTCAAAAGACCATCTACATAAGATATAACAGCAATGAAAATATTTTGTTTGTTCTATGTACGTGAAGTGAATGCATAACTTGGGTAGAGGTGAAAAGGTATGTTTGTAAATAAAGGCAGAAGTGGTCTTTTGTAATACTTTCTTTTAAATTGTAGGCTACCTGGTCTACACAGCAGGAGGAGACAACCGCAGGTAGTCGAAAGTACGACAAGAACGTAAGAGATAATTGAAACCATAAACTCCGAAAATATGGCGCCATACTGTAAAGAAAGAGGACCACTGCCTCGTGTAGTGAAATGTTGATGCAGATGGCTTACGTGACAGCAAATACTACAATATCAGACTGACGCCTATGGTTTTTAACTGCAGACGATGCAGGAAGAAGAAGAAGGCAGTGAAAAGTGGATCAGGGCTTGAAAGAGTTGGGCTCACGATCAGGACAATTATGAAGATCTGGTTGGCGTTTGTGACGAACATGAGGGTCAAGAACAGTGAACAGGATGCGGGTGTATGCAATATGTGGGCTCTGCCGCATTGTGTGTTCAGCGGCCCTGCTGACTGAGAAAATACTTCTTGATGGACCTGGATTAGAACTCCGAATAGATTAACCATTCAATGCAAATACAGTGCCGGAAGGAGGAAACCTCAATACAGGCTTCGAGAAAGAAAGAAGGCAGTCTTTGCACAAGTAAATTATAGAAGTTGGTCGGCACAGAGGCCAGTGATAAGGAATTTAGGGCATAATTGTAACGGAAGAGTAGAAGGCCTACAAACGGCTTCCATCGGAGGCGTATACGCACAGCACAGCCAACCACTCGCAAATTTAGAGGCTACGACTGGAAGGCATACAAACGTGATAAAGGCGTATTGGAGTAGGCATAATCGTAAACTCCACGAAGGGGGACCTGTGCCAGGCCGAGCAATATGGGCGGAAATTGTCGAAGTGCAGTATCGCCTATGGTTCGGCCTGAATTCCATGGACCTGAGGCAAGTGTGGGAATTATTCCTGCCCCACATTGCACAAACATCACTTTGTACGTTCTTTTGGTATTCAAAGTTCAATTGTAGTTAACTGTCGTATTTTGTGATATTTCGATAGCCGTTGCCTACTGTTAACTGTGTCCGTGTTGGGTGGGGGTGCAGTGTGCTTAGGCAAAGTTAAAGGATATTTGATTCAGAGAATCAGTTGGCGAGCATACGTAAGCTGCCGATAAATTCTCATCGAGCCAGTACGTTCATAAGCGAACGAAGAATAAGTAGAAATATGTGGTCAATAATGCTCGGGATTGCTGATTGATTGATTGGTGGTTGGCTGTTGTAAGAATAATCAACCGATCGCCTGATAACCGAGCGGGTTAAGGTTAAACACTGTGACTACAGCATCACGTGGTGTAGGAACTAAGGCAGTCTTTGCTGATTGCTAACACTGTTCGAATAGAGGGGAGTGCAATTTGCTTAGGCAAAGTTGACCATATGTGATTGCTGTAGAAATAAGCAACTGATCGCATGGTAACCGAGCGGGTCGAAGGAAGAAACTATCACTACGAAATCGCGTGCTATAGGACCTGGGGCAAAGTATTTGGCAATTTGCAAAGTTTTCTGTGTGGGGGAGGGTGCAATGGGCTTAGGTTATGTGGACCGGTAAAACGTTAAGACAAAGTGCACCAACCGTCAGCAATCGGGTGCAGTAAGGTGAGTCGATGCATGGTGAAATGCGATTGCAGTTAAATGAACAAGCATAACTACGCCTACTAAAATGCATATAGTAGTTAGTTCAGTATATCTAACATACGTACACTACACAATCTACTCTTACCGCTTCCTTCTGAATCTGAAACAGAGTACAGAAATGACTGATGGCAGGCACATTCAATAATCAGTACACAGGAACGGCTGATGGGCGGACACTCAGCCCCTCTGGTCTGTATGGTCAGAGACACAGTAGTAGTATAACAATAATGTGCTATTTCGTGTGGTTAAAATGACTTACCAGTAAGATCGTGCAAGCCCTGACGCATATGAGTAATCCAGTCGGAGAGAACTTCCAACAACCCCGTTCTAGACAATGACTATCTGCTAAAGGCTAATGCATCAAATGAGTATAAAGTCGTAAAATTCACAAAATCCCTCGATGTGTTCACTTCCATAGGTAACTCAGTCTTACCGTTCTTTGCTGCCTCTGCCTGTTCGATTTTAAGTTGTGCAGCGCGTTCTCTCTCGAAGCCTTCGTTGACCGCGGCCTCGGAGATCTGCGTTAAAAGGGCGATCGCACCCTCTGCTTCGAGATGGTTGCCATCGAGAAACAACTCCCTATCATCAGAGGGAAAGGGGAGGAGGGTTAACGGCAGGATAATGGCCTAACGACTAGCACGACCATGAACGAGCGCAGCAAAGCAAACGCGTTTCCTGGTAAGAGACAGGCGTGCGGGGAAGGTGGTTCAGTCTGCGGCCAGACTGGCCGCCACAGACTGTCTGGAGCAAGGACTATGAATGTTTTATGTGTGCAGCACAGCCATTTAAGAAACAAACTGTGACTTTTCGGAATGAGTGAATGCTATTGCATTTTATTTGGTGAGGGTAATAGACAATGCTGTTGAAAACCCTATTGATTGCATGCTTAATCGATCGTCCGGTCTTTGGTCACCCTTCATCAGGAGGATGCATAGGAAATTAGCAGCTGAGCTAGTAGAAGTGCCTCAACTGGTACAATCAACAAGCACCCTAGAGAGCGCTCGTGTGGAAAACTCTGAACTGCAGGATGAGTCAGAAATCGCCAACATGGGTTGTGCTGATAGCGTTAACTCGTGGCTAACAGTACAGCACAGTGCTTCCAGGTGGTTTTTGGAAGGCTGCAAACTGACAATACAATGCGGACCTCAAGGCCGGCTCTTTGTGTGCTTGTTTAAAGTGGTCGACTAGTACGCTGAGAGACAGACTCAATGGCTCCTTCTTAATGCAACCTCTATGGCACTCTCATGCATATCAGCTATGAGCCGCTCACCATCTTTGTGTGAAAACCTGGTATTTCTGGTACTCCTGCACTTATGTCAACCCCTTGTGTCCGACCACTGCATTAAATGGCCGGCCAGCTGGGACAGTGGACTGGTGCCCGGCAGCGGAGAGGGAGATTAAAGTCGATTCTGTGGATTCCGTCCCCAAGGTACTTAGTGCATACGCCTCACTTTAAGCAATCTGACACGCCTTAAAACGATACTACTGTGCTGAAAATCGTGGCTTGGAAGGATGGGATAAATCCGCTCTCTCTCAGAACAGAGAGTCAGGCTGCAATGGCTCAGTCTGGATGTGGCCTCCGTTGTACTCTCGCGTAATGGGCAAACGAGCCGCCCCTTTGTTGTTCGTATGAAAACTTGGTCAATTATGCGTGGACCAGGCATGTGTGGCACGGATCGATGTATGGTTTAGCTTTATCTGCCACTGCACCTCTGATCATCCTGACCCTGCCCTGTCATCGAACCCAAGCCATTGGGGGAGGGGAGAATGAGGTTGATGTGGTGCAAGTCCACCACAACTATAAACTAAATCATATGCAAGTCATCGTTTCTAAGCTCTGGAACACACG